AAAAAATGTGATTCAGTAGCATATCATAATCAGAAAGTACTGAGACCAGCTCTTTTAAGAATTATTACACCTTTTCACCACACCTCCCATTTTTCAAGGGAAACACACACATACCACAGACACACAGATACACAATTCAATCTGATCTAAGACTACATTTTACAAAGTACTTCCTTTTGCTTGACTTCCCACCCCTTTCCTCTTCACCCAAACAAGACTAATAATTACATCAAATGAAAAGCAGATCCAAAGTTCAGGATTTCTTTTGGTTTACTATGTTCTGAATAGTTTTCCACAAGCCCCACTCTAAATAAACTTTTAAAGAACTACAGTAGTATCCTATAATTAAAGGGAATTCATCTTAATAGCACAGTAAATATAAAATAAGCTTTATAAAATTTCAATGAACAGTGAGATCATTTTGAATAACTGAATGTCCAAGTCAGTTACAAACTCTACCAATCTAGTAGCATGGTTGAGGGAAAGCTCAGTCATTAAGGAAAAAAGAAAACACAAGTAGTGCATTAACTCAACACAACAGCATCAGCATCCCACCATTCTCACACACACACAGGTTGTATACAATACAGTGCATTTTGTATGCCAGCTGACACTAGGGTTTTATGTGCATTCAATAAATATTACATAAACCAATCTTTTTGGTATAATCTACAATTCAGTTGGGATGTGAATGGCATCACCTGCTTTCAGAAGGAAAATGGATCTTCCCATATTCAAAATACAATTTACATTCTAACAAACCAGCAATATTGAAGCACCATGTAAAGTCTACTATTCATGTTTGAGCATGGGCATTTACAAGTAAAAGAATACAACTGAGAGGTGTGGGTGTTGTTTTTTTCTTCTTTTTTTTGTACAAGCAACAAATGAGAGTAATTGAAAAACTGGGGTAAAATTATTGGTACAAAGGAATTCTTTTTCAATTTCGCAGTACTTGGTCACTCTTCCAAAAAATATCTTGCTGTTGTGGCAGCCCTTCCTTCTCTTCCTCTGGTGAAGCTGGACTAAGATTTGCAAGTCTCCACATATGGTTATTGCAGCTTAGGCAATTAGTGGACTGGAGGTATATTTTCACAGCCCCCCCCCTTCAAAAGTAGCATCTATTCTGTCTGAAAATGGCACAACTATATTTTTGCTTGACGCACCTACTCTCATTTGCTGACTGTCACTTCAGTTGCTATCTTTTTGTAATTCCAGCAAAAACAAATGGTTCTAGAACTTCAACAGAAGTACAAATGAACATAAAATTGAAATAATACAAAGGCAAAGGCATCAGAATAGAAAAGTCATGAAGTTACTGGTATTGTTTTGGGTAATTCATTATACAGCTGATAATAGCAATGCTTCTGGCTCATCTGTTTTCTAGTTATCTCAGTTTTGTCAGACTGCCCACTGACATGCACAAAATTGGTATCTGCCTTCTGATTTCATTTGACAGTAATTTTTTTACTGCTTTCTACATGTGATGAGCTCCCCTCACAGAATTACAAATCATTAGGAAGGAAGGAAAGCTATCTCTGATGCCTTTGACTTTGTTTTGCTCATCAGTGGTGCACACTGATTGCTGGATCTCTCTTAGCTTATTTAAAATTATCCTGAAGATTTAATTAGTGCAAGAACACATTGAAAAATGCCAGATAAAATATTGGTTCCTCTTCTAAGATCAATAGTTTGGTTCTTATTGTTGTTTTTATAGACTGTGGGGAGAGAAGACACCAGATTGAGCAATGCAGTCAAGATGAGTTTTTCTCCACCCACCCCTTGGCAAATACTGCTTTATTTTAAATAAGGATTCAGACACATGATTGTTCTACCACAGCTTAACATGTTATCACACATCAAGTGAACTGTGGTAATTGACCATATGGATGTGGCTGCCATGAACTAAGAACAGCTTAAAAGGTAGTAATTTAAAACTGCCCTGGCAAGGTTTAGCTGGCAAACTTTGCCTTACGGTCAGAAAGTCAATTACCATAACTCAGCTGAGGTGCTTGGTCACGTCTGAATTGTGATGAAGTTACACCATAAAAACTCAAATGCACTGTACCAGTCTCTGACCAGTACACAGGAACATCCCACTCAGTCACACAGTTGTGTCACAGTCATTCAGCTGCCCAAACCCAAGTTCGAGTTCACAAGTATCGAGTGTTTTATTACAGCAACCTGAAGCATTCAAACAGATTGAACATCACCTTTATAATACAGTATATCATATGCAGAAAAGTACCAATATGATTTTCAGTTGCAAGTCTCATGTTCTTCAACCTACGACAAGTATTTCCTGACCACAGTAAAGAGAATGCAGTGTGTAATTTTTCAGGATCTGGCATCTGCTATTTTGTACAGGCTGGTTTATTACCAATGTGCAAATAAATCTTTTCTGAAGAGCTGATTAATTATTTTTCAGCTAACTTTGATCTGGGGCACAAAGTACCTTCTGTGCTGTAAACATCATGAATTCTTCACAAATTGGAGGCTGAAAAGGCCTAAGGAACTCTCAGGTACAAACTCTTCTCATACACAACCATGGCTGAGCTCAAGTCTTGCAAACAGAATTTGGGGTAGCATGTGTTTGGCATATGTCCCCGTGCTGTTACACAGCACAGGCTTAGAAGATTGTTGTATATAAAAGCATACTTTTAGCTTTGAAACACGACGGCCCAATGAAAGCATGCAGCAGTATTTTCATCTGTAATGTGGTAGAATTCATTCTTGGTTTATTACCAGTGTTGACACAGCCAGGTGAGCACTGTACAAGCAAACAGGATTGTAAAAAATTACCTCTGATTAAACTCTCTGTAACACTCATACAGTTTCTCATTTAGTCACCTCAGGTTACTATTTCAAACAGCAATTTTTTGTAGACATAAGTTACCCTGAAAAAAAGCAGCAATTACAAATACCCTTCTCCTTGTTTTTTTTTTGTTTGTTTGTTTAAACATTGCAAATTTTATCGTTGCATTTACCTGTCTTCTTTTTCAGTAGCTTACAATCTAGAAGCACAGGGAGCCTTTGTTTTCCAGCTAGCTGGGGCCAGGATAAGTCAGCTCTGGCTCTTCAGTTTTTCTGGTTAAGTGTAACACTTCACACCATTACTAAGAGTCCTATAATTTTTTTTAAAAAAACAGTAGTTTTGGGTTGTTTTTTTTTTTAGAGCCACTAAGCAGTAACTATAACCACAGGACTAAAAACCAGTAGTTATTTGCTTTCCTGCATACATTCTTCTCAAAATTAATCCTTGTACATTTTCAGGTTTCATTTTCTGCTCCGCTCACTGCAATGGGAAAGAATTTCACCCTTTATTTATCTTTTAGTGTAGCAGAAGCAGAAACATCTTAACACATTACTCCCACCCCTTGCAATATAAAGATTGTTGACTGGCAAAGGCCGGGCAGATGGACTGAAAGGTTCCCCATGTTTCCTTCTCCTACAGCTGTCGGCTTGAGAGCCTGTTTTCAACCCAATGCAGCCCCTTCCTGAATTTCAGGTGTATCGTGGCATCTCACACTGTTCACAGCGATTCAGTGCTGGGTGATTTAGAAAGGTGCAGCTACCACAATTCCATGGAGCCCCTTCAAAGTCTTCATCTCTTGGCTGAGTCCGTGGAGTCTGTTTGGAGCTATTTTGATGCTCTAAAGAAAAGCCAAAAGAAAACATCTTATTTCAGAAGAGAAGGATTATTGTCAAGATCATACTTCTGGTTGGTCATCTAATTAAACAGTCTATTTTAAAATGAACATGGAAACCTTAACATTAAACATCTTTTCCTAAAGCACTTCTAATTCAGTTTGTGAAATCTGAATATTTAAAGTATTTCACTTCTGTAAAGAGTCACTTAACTATAACATCTTAAAAACAAAAAGAGCACTGCTGGGTCACTGATACTGCTCAAGGTTTACTGGGCACTGCAACACCAACCTGTTAAGGAATGACTTCACAGGTTTACATAGAGCAGTCCATTACCAAATTTTAAATTCCAATAGCCCTACTTCACCTGAAGAGAAAAACTACTTCTAACTTAGATTCTTCAAAGTCTGATAGATGACACTTTTTCTGCATCTTTTCTAGCATTTATCCAAGCTGAAAAAAATACAATATAAAACGATAGGCCTGTTTCAAAATAAGACAACTACTTTTCTTCCTAATGGCTTTGCAGCAGGAATGTGTGTATGGGAAGGAGCATTTAAGTCTGCTTTCACTTATAAAATCGGCATGTATGCAAATCATACATGAGGTCTTAACCCACAGAAAGACGTGGTTTTCCACATCTCCTACCACCACTTCAAGACCTCAGGTTATCTACCAAAAGTGACAAATACTCCCAGGACATAAGAGCACAGTGTTGCACAAACTGTTAATATTCAAAACAACATTAACACATACCTAGAAGGTAAGGTTAAGACACTCATCTGCTAAACAAACATCTGTAGAGCAGCTTTATTATTATTAAAAGAGAATTTATGTACAACAAAGGCCTGCAATTTGCAGCTGCACACAAAGTAATTTGCAGCTGCACACAAAGTAATTTGCAGCTGCACACAAAGTAATTTGCAGCTGCACACAAAGTAATTTGCAGCTGCACACAAAGAGCACATGTTGCTGCCCCATCTGCTAAAAAGGCAGCAGACACTGACGACAACCTCAGTGGAAATAGTACTTAGGTTTGTCTTGATGCCTCAGAGCTTTTTGGATTTTTTTTTTTAAATTTTGTAGATTTTAGTAGTAGTTGTGTAGTGAGACAAAGGAAATAAGAGTGACCTCCTCACTTACATGCAAGCACTCTCCAGCCCAGACGCTGTGCAGTCACATCAACAGTGCCTGACCTCAAACTCCTCCTAAGCAAGGGGCAGTGTGGGCACTTGACTGGCCAGATGGCAGCACAGAGCAGACCCTTGTCTGCCCACACTCGTCTGCCCGCCCACCTTCAACAGTTGAATGTTAAAGAATACTTGTTATGTAAGAAAAAAAAAAATCATCTTTTTAATGTCATCAAGTTAAAAGCCAAACTCAGAATACAGTAGGCCAACCCTAAAACTGATTTCTAATAAGCTAACAGGCAAAACTGGGAAGGTAGTCATACAAATCCTTACAAGGCATTATCTTTCCAACTGCCAAATACAATTAATTTAATGCAGGTTTTGCACATTAGTTTGCTTTGAATTAATAAATCAAATAGGCTAGTGTGGTAAGAGAATCCCTTCAAGCATCACAGCATAACAGTTCCTTAAATCAACCACATGATCTCTGCAATTTAACATGAATCCAGGTACCTGCCTTCACACCATGGCTCACCTGCTGCTCTCCCAGCTTTCCTGAACACTACCACCAATGCAGGTAACTCATCCCAGTATTATCTTTTCTCTGAACCACAAACAGCAGTTCTGGGCCTTTTCTTTCTTTCAAAATTCCCACACAGTAATAATTTTATTACATTGAGGGGTAAAATACTTGCTTCAAAAGAGGGGGAAAGCTTTGTTACATGAATTCAAAATTCAGCTACAGAAACCTCTGTGAAGTGCTCATCAGCAACCAGAACTTATTTACAAAATTCATAGTGTCAAGAAGTCTATATAATTACTGATTCAGAAGAGTTACTTCTTTTCCACTAAGAAGTGCAGTACATGCTAGTTACAGTAAGAGGAGACACAGTACTATGAACCTTATCACACAACATTTTCAGAGAAAAGAAAGCTTTTTCTCTGTGTCAGAGTATAGGATCCCAGGATGGCTACTTCAGCAGAAAGACACAAGGTGTCTAAAAACTTCCACTAATATTTGAAACCATTCTTTTAACAGATTTCAGGAAGAAAAATGTAGGTCAAAAAATATCTGAGACGAAAGGTAGAGTTCTGATCTGAAATCACCACTAAACAGAGTTGAATTCAGAGAGTTGCTGAGCTACACAGTGACTGTGTGTCTGCTTGGGATGTGTTGAGTCACTCTGGCATGAAGTGAATGAATCTTCACTGGACAAGAAGTGAGACTAAATTACGTAGCTCTTATGCTTACATAAAAGCTAAGTGTCCTGAGCTGGATATGAATCCTGATACTACATAATTAGCACTGAAAATTAATGAACCTATACAAGTGGGACACTTATCTCTTTTGACCAATGTGAGGAAGTGTCCTCCTTGGTCCTTAAAATACCTGAAGCTCTTGCTGTGCTAAAACTTCAGGGCTACTGTGAAATTCATACTGTGCACAAAAATATAAGTATAAAGTGAGACCAGGCAAGTTAAAATATAATTAAGAATATAAACAAAAATTTAAAAAGCTGCTGTGACCAACTGAACTTGTATAAAAGACTCCAATTAAACTATAAAATCCTAACAGCATACATTAGAGGACAACTAAACAAACCTGACACAGAGCTTTTAACCTAGAAGTATTTAAAAAAGAAAAAACATTAGGAAGCTCAAGTAAACATGTAAAAATTTGTATATTTTCAACTCTTTTTCTAACAGTGAATAACAGTATTTATAGTCAAGGTTTTAACACAACATTAATTTGCAACAATCTATCTGAGGAAAACAAGTTGTTGTCAAGATTAGTGCACTTATATAAAAGTGTTCTGATTTGATTTATATAGAAAGAAAAGTTAAATAAGAAGAATTACTTCCTTTCACCAAAGAGATTTTTTTAAAAACAAAAAAATTCTCTCAATGCAGATTAGGTAACTGGATGCATGTTTGTTAACCTACCCTTTTTATATGGCTTTGGTGGCACAACGGGACCAGGCTCTATGTTATCATAGAAGTTACACGTAGCTTTCGGATCAAAGTTTCCTGTCAGAAAAGTAAGAAAGTGTAACTTGAAGGTTATTTGAATTCCTATACCCATGATATGAACATCTATAGGCTTCTGATTTTATACATCTTTTTATTATGACATTATATCTTAGCTTTTTCACAAGTTCTGACACATTTTCAGTTTTGTGTCAATCCTAGTAATTTTTAGCAGGGTAATCCCATATTGAATAATCAGCTGCAGCTCAACGTTTTGTATTGTTCTGTGAAATGTAAATATTTCTATAGGATACTTCCTTATAAAAAAAAAGGAAGACTGTGCATATCCTAATCTATTTGATTCTATTTATGACAAGTTTCTGTTGCAAAAAAGATTTTGCAACAGATTTTTGTTTGCCAATTTGTTGGTTGCAACCTCCAGTTCTGTTCGGTATTACTTGGCCACAGCCTCTCTCAGCAAAAAGTTTAAGTAAAGGATCTTCACAAAGGAGTAATTTTTTTTTAATATGATCCTGACAAAGTCTCCACTTTCTTGGTAATGTAATTTAACTTGGCCAATGGAAATACTAGCAAGTCAAGCTTATTAAGTTGCAACTGAAAAACCCCCCACCTTTTAGAGGTAAGTTATCACTGCTAATACAAATTGAAAAAAACTCCCAAGTATTCACATTTAAGCACATACCATATGAGAATCATAGGATCACTTAAGCTGGAAAGGACCTATAAGATCACTGAGTCCAACCATTACCCCAGCACTGTCAAGTCCAGCAACAAACCATGTTCCCAAGCACCACATCAATGGGATTTTTAAATACCTCCAGGGATGGCAACTCCACCACTTTCCTGGAGATCTTGTTCCAGTGTTTGACAATGCTCTCCCAGAAGACGTTTTTCCTAATATTTAAACTGAACCTTCCCTGACATAACTTGAAGCCATTCCCTCTCATTCTGTCACTTGTTACTTGGGAGAAGAGACCAACCCCCAACTGGATACAGCCTCCTTTCAGGTAGCTGTAGTGAGCAACAGAATCTCCCAAGCCTCCTTTTCTCCAGGCTAAACACCCTCCAGCTCCCTCAGTCTCTCCTCACATGACTTGTGCTCCAGACCCTCCACCAGCTCCACTGCCCTTCTCTGGACACGCTCCAGCACCTCAGTGTCTTTCTTGCAGTGAGGGGCCCAAAACTGAACACAGGATTCAAGGTGTGGCCTCACCAGTGCCGAGTACAGAGGGACAATCATTGTCCTGGTCCTGCTGGTCACATTAGTGCTGATAAAGGCCAGGATGTCATTTGTCTTCTTGGCCACCTGGGCACACTGCTGGCTCATGGTCAGCCACTGTGAACCAGCACCCCCAGGTCCTTTTCCTCTGGGCAGCTTTCCAGCCACTCTGCCCCCAGCCTGGAGCATTGCACGGGATTGTTGTGATTGAAGTGCAGAACCCAGGACTTGATCTTTTTGAACCTCCCACCACTGACCTCGTCCCATCACTCCAGTCTGTCCAGATCCCTCTGCAGAGCCTTCCTACCCTAGAGCAGATCAACATTCCTGACCATATCCAAATTATCTTTTTTTTTAAAGTATCAAGTCAATACCTCTAGACTGAAGGAGATCAACTTCTTTCAGTGTACAGTCAACATTTATTTGGAGTTGTCTGTTGAGGCTTCTCAATCTGGTCATTTCCTCAGGCTAGAAAGAAACAACCCAAAATAGTCATTGTGGGAAAATCAGCATCTTATTTGAAACAGAAATAACATTGCTATATCTTTGTTAACAGCTTTATTAGAAACTGAGTATAGATAAGGCACTGAAAAAAGCCAATTTGCCCTCAAAAAACATTCTTCTATTGGCATGTGAGGAGGAAAACAAACAAGTTATTTAATACTAAAATTGGTTAGTAAGACAACATAGCTGAGATCAAGTTTATAAAACCACACACCTTATAAAACTCTATAAATTGATGGCTTGCTACCTGAGTTTGCATCAAGATAATTAGAAAACAGAATACAAACTGCAGCCCACCTTAACTATTACTTGATTAAAACTAAGGTCAAAAGTTTATTTATTTGCATCACCCCAAGGAGCTTCAACAAGCCAAACCTTCTAGCTCAGTATATTTAAGTCATTCGATGCTGAAGGGTGGTAATTATCCTTAACAGTAATCAGTTAAGTCCATATATTTACATATCATTAAGAACCCCTAAGTTACTGGAATATAAAGCATTCTTAATACTAGCAGCACTGATTACTAACACATATGTAGGAATAAATATCTTATCCCAGGATGCATTCTGGCATCAGAGTCACAAAATCACAGAATGTTTGAGGTCGAAAGGAACCCCTGGAGGACACCTGGTCCAACCCCTCTGCGAAGCTTCCAACCAGACTTTGTGCTACTGACAACCACACTCTTGCCCTGGCTGTTCATCCAGTTTTCAATCAACCTCACTGCTCACTTAGCCCACACTTCATCAGTTTCTCTATGAAGATCTTATAGGAGACAATGTTGAAAGCCTTATCAAAGTCTAGACAGACAATAATCACTGTCTATCTAGGTCATCAGGACAGACTTTTCATCCTGGAAGTTTAACAAATTGGTCAAGCTTGACTTCACCGTGGTGAATCCATGCTGATGACTTTCTTGTCCTTCACGTGCCTGGGAATGGTCTGCAGGATTAGCTGCTCAATCACATTCCCAAGGATCAAGGTGAGGCCGACCAGTCTGTAGTCCCCTGGGTCTTACCCTTCTTGAGAACAGAAGTACTATTTGCTCTCCTCTAGTCTTCAGGCACTTTCCCACACACCATTAATCAATCAAAGATTATCTAGAGTGGCCTTGCAATGACATCTGCCAGCTCTCTCAGCACTCATGGGCGCATCTCATCCAGGATTATGACTTCATGTATGTCTGCTTTGCTTAAGTATTCCCTGACCTGATTATCTTAACTAAGGGTATACCTTCTCTGCCTCACACTTTTCCCAGGGTCTCTGGGACTTGAGATTCCTGAAGGACTGTAAAGACTGAGGCAAGGAAGTCATTCAGTATCTCAAGCCTTTTCCATGTTCTATGTAACCAGGTCACCCATCTTGCTGAGCCCATGTTTTCACTGGGCTTCCTGTAACAGAAGCCCTTCCTTTTGTCTTTGACATCCCATGCCAGATCCAACTCCAGCTGGGCTTTGGTTTTCCCAACCTCATCCTTGCACACTCAGTGCCTCTGCATTTCTCCCAAGGACATACCTGCCAAATGCTGCCCTGACACAAGTGAGACATAAAGCAGCCACAGTAGTTAGGCAGCCAACAGCTCCTACTGTGCCTTCCAGCCCACACCAATGTGCACTGCTTATGTCAACACAGTGAGTAAGTCTGAACTGATCTGGTTAACAACTGCACACAGTGGAAGCTGTTTTTCAGCCACATGAACTCCCTTATCAGAGCTATACAGTTGTTTGAGCTAGAGTCACTTGCAGGTGGAAGTAACACAGATAAGAAGAATCAACAAGGAAAACAGGAGAGGGAGGTGCCAACTATTTGAGCCAACACTGCCACTGACAAGTCACTTGGCACATCCTGCACATACCAGATGAGAAATACCATCTACGAGATGCAACTACTGCAACAAATAAAATACCTTTTAAAAAAAAGTTAAACCCTCCTGCATGAACACCAAGCACTACATGGCTCAGGCTCATTGAGTAGACCTGGATATACGTTTATAGGTTGTTAGGAAAGCAACTATATTCAGTTCTGTAGTCCACAAAAGCACATGCATACAACTTTCAGAAGTTCTGTTGTGAACACTAAGAAAGCTGGACACGTTTCATAAATTACAAGATTTACCTTATGGCAAGTCAAGAACTTACAATAAATTATCACCAAAACCTCAAGATTTTATACTCAAAAGTTTTTGTACAGTACTTCATTAGAAAATAAAAAATAAATCTGTATGTTGAATTAAAATACTAACAAATTGCTTACTGTTGGAATTGCAGTTGTACAGCTCACTCTTCGAAGCCGCCTCTGCATTAGATCATGCTCCATACCATTGACTTCGGTTTTCAGGCGTTCGAGCTCTTCTTTCTCCATCTTCAGCTCCTTTGCTAATCTCTCCATCCTTGCTCGTTGATGTAACAGCAAGGCTAAAGTTTTACATAGATGAAATAGTTACTAGCACATAAAAACTTTGAAAACTGAATTCTTAATTTACACGTAAGATTCATGAGTGACCTTTCTGGGAAAAAAAAGTGATTGTAAACATGCAGCCAAGTATCAGTGTGAAGATGCTTTCATGCCAAATGAACTACAATTTAGAACACAGTTCTTCCAGAATTAAAAATACATTTTTAGACAGTAACTTGAAGTTGATATTACCATTTTGGTCAAAGCTTCTTTTTTTGCATTTGGTCTTTCTCGTCTCAAAAATACAAAGGCACCTGTACAAGGAGACAGCTTCTCAGGATGAAACAGCAACCTAGTCACTTTAATACTCTACTGACAAAAAAAAAAATAATAAAAATACCAGAGGTAAGATCAGAAGGTAACACACACTTCATACCTGCTGCTCAAGAGCAGCTGACACATCAGCCTTGAGACATCAGCCAAATGTCAGTCCTAAATTGTTTTTTTCCCACTGCTATCACAGAGTATGCTATAGCAACTTAAAGTAGTCTTAGCTTTTCAGGAATCCTGAAATACTCAATACTTTAAGTTCCCCAGAGTTCAAAGGCAAAACTATAGAACTTCAACAAAATAGCCTAGAGAATCCAGGAAATAAAAAGTGGGGTCATCTTAGGTGCTTCAAACTCTAATTCTACAACAGAGCTGATTCCTCTCACCTCTCTCTGCTGTCAGTCATGCTCTCATTTTTGTCTTGGTACTGAAATTTATGATTGTCACAAGTTGATGTTGGCTCCCAGAGAACCAAAGAAAGCATTCTGACTACCTAAAAGATAATACTCAGTTTCCTCAGGAAGAGCATTTCTCAGTATTTCATCCTGATGTAGAACTGGTCAAGTTAGTGTGATGCTTAATCCTTTCTGATCTGGCTGGTTTTACCTGATTGAAGTCTGCTAGGATAGAGAAAAATAAGACATTTGATGTGGGTATTCAGACAAACAAGCAGCTCATGTAACAGTGTTCCAGCAAACTGTTCAAAATAAAGATGTTGTTGAACCTTCAAAATGCGATTTTATAAAAGGCTCCAGCCAGCACTTGCTCTTTTCTTCACCCCTATCCAACAAAGGCAAAGTACATAATATCGCAAGAGTATTTTCATGTGAGCTAAAAAGAAGTTAGAAAAATAAACCACATGACACAACTTATTGCAGAACAACAAAAAAAACCTCAACCAGGAGCTTTTAAGGGGTTTTCATCAGATGTCAGTATTCTGCACAAAAATGTAGCACTATACTTTGGATTTTGTATGGATCTACCAATTCACAGCCAAAGAATAAACGCTGAACATCCCATCCAAGAATAACATCAGGTGTTTTTATACTACAGGCACCAGTACTACTGAACAAAATTGTTCCCTCCTTTTTTAAAGTAGCATAGTCATGCAAACAGAATTAAGAAAAGACAGTGCAGATACCAGGCTGTGTGATTTTCTACTATTATTACCAAACCTTGTCTTTGTGTGATTGCTCCAACTTAACATGGTATGACTACATTTCACAGCTTCACATTATACTCTCAAAGTACAACTCAAACATGACTCATACTACAGAGAAACAGCACAAGTACAGAGAGCAGAAGGAATTTTTGGTAACGCTTTTCACAATGATTCGCATGAAAGAGAAAATTATACAAACTTGTTCTACGTATTAAGCTGTTAAATATACTCTTCCTTAGGATTCCTTTTGTTGCAGTAAAGAATATAATGTTTATTCTTCTACAATTTATTTCTGTCAAGAGTTCACAGTGCAGCAATACCGAAGGCTCTGGTAGGTATTGCCACAAATGCAAATGCCCCAAAAAGCATATACTAACTAGTTCTATTTAGTTTGTTTTTCAAATACAAAAAACTAGTCAAAGGCACAAAGGTAAAACCTGATTTTTACATTTCAGAACATGTTTTTCAAAGCTATGTGAAGCTACTTGTAGCTTTCTTACATAAATGACAATGTTCACTGAAGCTGTAATAGGAACATTACCAAATGTGTCTGGTTACAGATCTACTGGCAATCTTTCTTACTGAAGACCTGGGTCTAAAGAATTTCTAATTGGATCTACCAGGTACAAACCAGCACTATTTCAGCTCTCTAAAGTTAAAAATGGATAGAAGAAACAACAGAGGAATAAACTCTCTTTTCAAAACACAAATTTGGAAAATAATTGTTGCTGGTTGTCATTCTGTCATTATCCCAAATGACTTGCAGACTGATTAATTTGCTCAGTTTAAAATTTTTCAAATCTACACAGCAGATGACTCCAAGAGAAGTAGTTTTCAGCTAAAATTTCAGTTAAATTTCACCTTTTTTTTCTTTACTGATTTACTGAATTCTTCATTTATGTACAGCATCAAAATTATGTTCTACCCCTACACAGCAGAACACACATCTTAAAATTTGTCTGCCAATCTCTTCCTCCTCTTTGAAAACTCTAAGTGGGAGAAGCAAACTTTGGATTAAGTTCTTCAAAATAATTATTTTCAAACCTTTCAAAATTAAATTATTATTGGTATTGACAAGGTTTTTTTAGCTGCAATCCTACCTCCCGCCTCTTGCACTTAATATTCTTCAATCTACATCAAATAAACTGGATTTAAACGCCAGTGCTTCAGGTCTTATAACACATTTGAATAAGGAACAAATACAAAAAATTTTAAAAATGCACATGGAAATTTATGACAATTCTTCAATGCAGAATTTACAAACCAGACACACAGTGTATGAAGACACCACTTACTTTTAACTGCAGTGTTTTGTTTTAAGGAAGTCCTCTAACACCAAAAGCATAGCAACTTTAAGACCCTCAGAAATTCTTTATGCATTAGACTGAAACTTAGCAATTTTTAAAAAAAATCAGAATAAACTCATTCCATGATTTTTGGTGCAATTTCTACTTTTCTCTGTACAGGTTCCAAAATTCTCACTTTGTAAGTAGTAAAATCAAGCTGAAAATGCATTTTACAACACCACAATTCGCAGGGTTAAACATTTACCTTGAGTGTAAGCATAGTCATCCGATCCAGAACTAGAACTTCTCTGATATTTATGGCTTCCTTTTTCTCCTCCAGATCCTGGGATTACAGAAATAGGCTGAATAGGTTCTGGTGCTGCAGAACGCTCTTCTTGGTCCACTAAATTTAAAAGATTCTCAGTCGGTGCTCGACCTACTGTGATTTTAAAAATGGTTGGGTTTGGCTGAGATACCATTACCCGAGGAGACTGTGTTGGGGCACCTGCAGGTCCAGTTGGTTGAGTGTAGGTAATATATACTGGATTAACACTAAATGGAGGTTTGGGTTGCCCCGACATACCTCTTGACGGAGAGCTTGAAGGAGGAGTAGTGGGTGCATACAGTGGGTGCTGGTTTCGTTGAGATGGTTGATTACTTATTGGTGAAGGGCTTCTGTTCATTGCAGTCCCAGGTCTTTGCGGTGGCTCAACTGTAATTTCTATTTTATTCATGGAACCTTTGGATAAACTAGGTCCAGCAAAAGGAGGAAGGTACGACACAGAGTGACTGCCTTGTTTCTGAAAAGTCTGGGATGCTTGCTGATATGGATGGGGTGGGACAGTTGAGGGGCTAGGAGGCATGAAAACATGTGAACTCTGATGACTCAGCTGAGGAGGCTGAACTTGGTGCTGAGGAGAGCCAAAGGGAGAGGGACACTGGGATGCCGGTGGCGATCGAAAAGCCGACTGAGGGATCTGGGGCTGTTTCGGAGAATACTGAGAAGGTTGGTAGTTCTGTTGATGTGGATATACAGGTAGAGGACGGGGAGTATAATGTGGAACTGGGCCCTGTGGCGATGAATGCCACTGTGTATTCTGAGGAGTCTGTCGTCCTGAAGAACTTTGAGATGTTTGTCTTATATAAATAGAGCCAGGAGTCCCATAAAGATTGCTTGGAATCTGTGGAAGAATTTGTAGAGCTCTGGGTACGCTCTGTCCAGAGGGGAGGTTTTGTGATACTGTAACAGTAATGGGATTTGTACTGTACCGAGGTATGTGCATATACGTGGGAGGAGGGCCTTGCATAGCAGACGTGTTCATTCCTGGTTGTATGGAAGATGGCTGTGGAGGTGGCTGTGGAGGAGGAGTAGCTGCATTTCTATTCTGGTCATTCATGAAAAATGGATTGTAACTAGGAGAAGCTGCCACAACAGCGGGAGCAGAATGTGGTTCTTGAACTAAGCAGATGAGCTGTTTACCTGCTGTGCGCTGAGGGTCAATGTGTCCATCGCTTGAGCTGTGTACCAGTGTACGACCACCATTAAGTTGAGCTCCATCCCCCGCGTGATAGCTGGTATGAGGATGAATACCCAGATTAATGTGCAAAAGGCTATTTCTGTTCATTCTGGTGTCATCAGGGCTGTGGTACTCCATGTACAGGTATTTGTTGCTCTCCTGTGCAAGGGCTCGACAACAGGCATCGAGGTTGTTGTTGTTCTAGGAGTAAGAAGAGACACCTATTACTGTCACATAGCACAAGGAAGAGCCACTGCTCAGTGTTCAACAAGCCTTCAGCTGATGCCACAACCAAGCCCCAGCTTGAACACAACTAGGGAGAACATTTCATACATAGGAATTTTGAAATAAAGGTAGTACCTGCTAAGTCACGGTATGCAAGTCGTACATAGCTCGCGTTGCATCTGGAAAAATGCTCTGGTAACACGAGCTAGACTATGACATATTAGAAAAAAAAATCAAGTCCAGTTTTGGGGAAAACAATGGTTAGAATTCTTCACATGTTCTTCAAGGACCAAGTCGGTACAATTAGCTACTTCTAGTAACAACACAAATCAAATTAAACTAGATCAAAATTGGAAACTCTGGAAAAGCAAAACAAAAACGTAGACGACATTTTAATGTTTACCCAAGTGGTTATGGTTTTCATTTTTCTTTTGCTACTTGAATATTTCTCTTTACCTGAAATTTTAAAAGCCCAACATTTTAGGCCAGCTTTTAATGATAGAACAGTATTTAATGACTTAAAAAAGCAGTCCAAGTCAGTACTGCTTGAAGAAGTACTGCCAATTCCATAAAGCACCTTACAATTCTAACAAAATTTCAACCACCTTTAAGAATTTCAAGCTTAAGGCTAAAAAAGGTTTATTCACACATCAGTGAGGAAACCAAATAACCCCATAAATGTTTGATTTGTTCTGCAGTGCTAGCAGTTGAAACTATACAGACAATGAATTATGAATCAAATGAGAAATCTAACGGGGAATTCCCTTTCCCTTCTTGCCCTCTCCCCTCATTTTAACTTAACCTCGTCTTATTAGAAGAGCAACACAAATGATGGCTTTTCCAAAGGAATAAAATCACTAGAAGGCATTCCAGATGGTGGATTTTTTTTCTCTCCACTTTCTCATATAACAGCCTGTATCAGCCGTGGTTCAGATTTTAATTTAAATAGTAGTTAAAGAAAACAAATTTCACTTTAAATTCAACTCAATCTGACCCTCAGCACCCAACCTTTGTTACATATACTCCAAGATTGGTATCTTCTGTGACAGAGCACCTTCTTCCAGAACAAGTGTGTACATATTTATAGACACATACACCCCCACCTTCCTCGGTGTGCTAAAATTACCATTCTAAGGGATATACATTAATAATGGTTTCACTTCTATTTTAAACACTATCCCTATATAAAGTTTTATACATAATAATACACATATAGCCTTGCAATACAATTTTCAACAGCCTATCAGCTGAAGTCATGTTACATTTCTTTTCTGAGGGACCAATAGCTAATTAGTCTTAATACTAGAATGAAGATAACTTTCCCAAAAATTTCATGATTTCACTAACAGATGAATACACATAATTCAGCACTTTGTCGTATGAAGACTTACTACTGAAGATAACAGAAGACAGAAGAGTCCAGCACTTAAATATGAATGGCTCTCACTTTATGGATACTTCTCTCTGACTACTTCCCTTCACGTTAAGCTCTCCTTCTAGATCCCAATGGTCAGTGGGAATATCCAGATATATCACCAAAAATTTAAGATCAGAATATGTGGGCACCAGATCCTGTAATAACAATCAGCACCACAGTGCTAAGACAGCAACCTCAAAGTTAACCATCAGCCACTTGCCATCTAAACAGAACTTCATAAACAGAGTCCTCAGCTTCCTTAGGTCACTTGGTCAGGGTGCAGGTAGAAAGAATGTAGACAGGACAGGCCCTAACCTGATTTGATCAGGGTATGGAATATATTTGTCGTTTCAAAGGACCTTCAATTTTTGACAGGTCTAAAACTCAACCTAATTTAAATCTAGAGTATTTATTGCAAAAAGTTAATGAAAACCAGCTCGTGAATCTTTAAATAAAAAGTGGGTTTGGAAACAAAATCTACACTTTAAAAAATAACAACTATTTGCCATGTAATGTTAACCAGCTACCCAGAATGCCCTATTACAGATTACAGAACACCATATGCTTCTGCAGCATTAGGGGTTCTTTAATTTTATTGTTTAAAGAGGACTATGACAAACACAGTTCATCAAAAGGATCATGTACTTAACAGTGCAGAAGAAATGACTGTCGGGACAAACAAAGCTTTAAATTACTGGGCTTCCCCTGCTTTACATTTGTGTGAAAGCAATTAATTTGTATTTGTATGGTTTAGAAGACACATAAGGCAAAAATTACAGCCACTGTTCTAAGCAAGCCTACTCATCTGCCAGGGACAGAGAGGATACAAATACAGTTTTGTTATGTTAGCCATGGCCACAACAAGGCCAAACCAGATTTTTTATGTTTCTGTTCCATTCCTGAATCTTCCCATTAACTGAAGGTATTCCCAGATGACCACTACTTTGTAAAATGATTTATATGTGATTTTAGATGAAGAATGGAAGGACAAAATGGAAAGGAAAAGGTGGGGAGAGGAGGAGGGGGGAGAAGAACCATCACCACCTGACTTGGAAACAGAGAAGTAAAACTAAACCTTTGGAGAGCCATGGCAGAAAGATGACACGAAGATGAAAAATCTTAAGATTCCTAGCTAAGGCCAGCTCCTCATCTTCCAAGAAGAGTCACTGTTTGCTAAAATCTTCTTCACTATGTTATTTATGTAGCCATCATCAATAAATATCCCATTAACCACTTCCCTTATTCCCCATATGCATAACAGTCGCAAGTTGCACAGACAAGGAAAAACTGTCAGTGGAAAAAAAAAAATAAATCACAAGCCTAAATGAAGAATGACAAAAAGTTTTATCCCTAAAACACAGGACAGAAATGCAATTAGTGAAATCTTCCAATCTTTTAAAATAAAACCAGGGGAATGGAAATCTGTGCTCCACGTACACTACTGAAAAGGGTTTTCATACTAAAACACAATACCCAGACTGTACCGTACCTGAAGCATGCACTGAGATACCACCCCTTCGGGTATCTCAGGGAAACGCTGCCGGAGGTCATGGAGTACCTGCACGTCAAGTTGTTGACTGCCCTGCGCCATGCCAGATGGATGATGTTCCAGATTACCAAAGAATGGAAGTCAACAGGCTTTCCAGTGATTATGGTCTTCTGAGGCTTCTGGCATTTTCTGTAAGAAACAAAACAATTATCTTTTAAGCCATCATAACTTTTCCTCCTTCCCAAACTGCACGTGTAGAAAAACTACTGTATTCGATTTTTAGATGTAGCTATCAAGAGAGACAACAGGTTAAACACAGGAGTAGGAATAATCACGTCTCACAGTTTTAAATTAAAACACTCATTGTTCCACAGGTAGGTCCTATATGACATTTCACTGGAATGTGCTACTTCAGGTCTTTACTCAGTCTCATTGTCGCACCACATACACATAACTTTAATTAATTTGACCCACATAAAATGGAACTGTTACATATTTACTCCCAGTGATACCCTGAACAGTTTGCAGGAAAGTCTGAAGTTATCACAAAGCACAGATGTCTGTTATTTACAACATGTTAGAAATAACAGGTTGGAAAACTAAGTAGCACAATTATCCAAAATACTCCTCTACTAATAGGGCTTAAACTCTTTTGTCTTTACATCACTAGAAATCCAAGAGGTCAGAAGCAAATTTTGTGAAACATAACAAGAATTAAACAGAATTTAAAGAGTTCTTGTTAAGATTATGGTGAGAATCTATTTAATATTTTTGTAAAGCACCTGTTAAAGTCGTACTACTGTGATTAGTGACAAAAATAACCCTCTTTCCATTTCAGGATTCTTGCATTCAACATCAAAAAGATTCTATCTGAATTTCAATACCCACAGACTACTAGAAGGCAAATACAGTCTGAGTCAACAAATGCTTTTCTCGCTTGTGGCTCATGATCACAGCAGTAATCAAGGCAGCTGAAATCTAAGCAAAGATTCACAAAAACTTTGCATGAAGGTGGTGTATGACACAGCCCTTCTAACACATCCATCATTGCTAAGCTTCAAAAGCCTTTCCAACAATACTGCTCAGCTGAATTCTTAACTGCAAGAATGCAGTGCTGTGTTCAAAAAGGAAATGAGAGTCAGATACCAGCAGAGTCGGTGTTCAAGTAATATATTAGCTACCCAAAATCCCAAGCTTAAATCATGCTTATCTCAACCTCAGTGCAACTGTGGTGGCACACAACACAGGTATTCCAATCAGCTTTCCACCTGAGCTCAACTTCCAGCAGCAGTCCAGAGCAGCACAAAAGATTAGCAATCATGTACATCTCTGTGCACTAATAGATTCCAACAGCTTCCCATGTCTTTCCTTTGAAAATCTCTTAGTTTTCAGAGGCAAGAAAAGAGAACACAGTTCTTCAAAGAAAAGTAAAATGTCAGGTTTAGTGTAAAAAAACCAAAACAAATTGACTTTAGTAAAAGCTTTTAGAGGTAAGAACAGCAGAAGTCCACTCCCATCCACCATCTGGGTGTTTTGTATGTGGACAACTCTCAGCTGCCACCAGCATTCATTAAACACCACATGTGCTCAGGGTTCCTCCCTGTCCTACCTCATATTCCAGCATCCAATATTACACCTGTCACATCACAAACCTTTTCAAGATAAAATGAGACAAGTTTAAAGAACAGTGAGATATGTGAATTATCTTGCTGTGACTTAAGAAATACTGCAATAAACTTATATTGGATAATCACAATGCATTTTTGTCCACTGCAGTAATGCTGCAGACTCCTTTCATTTTAAAAGGAAATGAGCTTCCACTGACTACAAGAGCCAGCTGAAAATTCCTATCTACACTCACAGTAGGGATTTTTTATAAAACTTATTTTTTTTGTAAGTGACAAACAAACATCATAATCTGAAAGGCAGACCATCAGCACAATACTCAAAGAAAACCCGACAGCAAGCAAGGTCTGTGTGGTTCTAGACCACTCTCCTTTTCCCAGGAGGAAGAGGCTGAAATGTAGTAGTGGAGGGGTACCCTACCAGAATGAATTGCAGTTAAAACTCCTTTAGAATAACAAATGACAGTATCTGAAACAGAAGATAATAATTTTAAGAATTTCATTTGCATGAGCAAGAGCTTTTGCATCACTTCTCTCTTCAAATAAAAATTCAAACATAACATGGGTGAGCAGACTGGAGATCCATTGTCAATATGTGCGATGTTTTTCTACAATGGTTTTAAAATAAAGTTAAATTTTTTTAATGTTTTCCAACACTTCCTGAATATGTGTGGTGAGCAGAGGCATAATACAAAATAATTGGCAGTTACTGGCGAACTACGAATTTTATCAGACTTCCCAATGCAATGCACAACAAATTTCCATTTTCATTCTGAAGAGTTGAAGCTTCCAGCCTTTACAATTACACATAGAGCCTTGAAAAGAAACTCAAAACAACTGCTGAGAAGCATGAACAAATACACAATCATTCAGAACTGCTTGGATTACAAGGCTGAACTACTGTGGAAATTTGTCAGGTTTTTTTCCCAGTCAATACCACAAAATTCACTACTGTCATTATCTAGCAGCCCAGCCTTTTGTCCTGTGTATTGTCCAGCATTTTGTACTGCAAATTCTGCTTGACCTGCCTACAACTGCACATTTTCCACTCTAAGCAGGCACAAACTGGCTGGAATACAATACCCACTTCCCATGTTGCTCCACAGCACGCGGCAGGCGGAGAAGCAAGTTATTCAGAGCCAAGAGCTTACAGCACAGGCCACACAGCTAAGATGCTTGGACAAGAACTCCTGCTGAGCCACAACAGACTAAGAAAGCAATCCTTCAAAGACTTTCTTCCACAGCATCCACAGGCTAAGGGACACACTGAGGTGCATTATATTACCAGCCTTATAATTACTGAAAGTTCAATGCATCAAAAACCAACCCAAAGTCACAATGAAAGCAAGATGTGTAATTTTCAGAAATGAGCTGAAGGTGCCCAAACTCCAAATGGAAAGTATTTCATGAGGATGGAATAAATTAACACTGCCACAGACATGGCAATTCTAAAGGCAAAACCAAAGCACTTTGTCACAGAACTGGTCCTGCTGTGTTAACACACACAGACGAACTCAAGAGCCACTAATGAATCTTGTGGATTATGCAAACCATGATTCAAGTCCTAAACAAGTATAACAATCAGTTTTTCACACCTTTTACATGCCCAAATTAGATGTACAGGAAAACACTATCTTTAAATTTAATCTTCTTTCCTTAAGCCATTTGTGTACCTTCCAAGTTAAGAAAACAACTAACAATTCCGTCTATCAACCGATGCCACTTCTCTGAAAGACTGAAAAAATAAAAAAAAAGTAGAATTACTGTAGTCTTGCTACACCCCACAGATGTGTCCAGATATGTACTGAAGGAAATTTATTTCACTACTGACATTTTTGAAGCGTTAAATCACCTCAAATGAAGATATAGAAATCATCAGGAATTAAATTCAATTGAAAACTAAATTAGATCAATTTACACTATCTGAAAATTTATAAATTGTGTACTGATATGCACTTATGCAATTACAATGTATGGAGCAACTACAATAATTCCTGAGTGAATTTCCAGAAAACAGGTTACCTGAAGATAGTTTCTCAGGCCTCATCAATTTAAAGTTGATTGTTAAGAGTTTTATAACAACAATCAGGCAGTGAAGTGTTAAGAGATAAAACACAACAAGACAAAACACAGCAACAAAAAAAAAATATCACTTTAGAGAATCATAAATATTCTGAGTTCAAAAGGACCCACAAGGATCAAAGTCCATCTCCTCGCCCTGCACAGGACACCCCAGGAATCACACCATATGCCTGAGAGTGTTGTCCAAACGCTTCCTGAACTCTGGCAGATTTGGGGCTGTGACCACTTCCCTGAAGAGCCTGTTCCAGCATCCAACCACCCTCTGGGTGAAGAATATTTTCCTGATATCCAACCTAAACATCCCCTGACACAGCTTCATGCTGTTCCCTCAAGTCTGGAAGATGACCCAGAGGGCTGGGCAATCACCACCCACATGAAGTTTAACAGAGACAGTGCTGGATTCTGCACCTGAGATGAAGCAACCCCAGATGTACAGACAGACTGGGGAATGAGATGATGAAAAGCAGTGCTGCAGAAAGGGACCTGGGGGTCCTGGTCGATGGCAAGTTGAATATGAGTCAGCAGTGCCCTGGCAGTCAGGAGGGCCAACTGTGCCCTGGCAGCATCAGGCAAAGCGTCTCCGGTTGGTTGACAGAGGGGATTGTCCCGCTCTGCTCTGCACTGGGGCAGCCTCACCTTGAACACTGTGGCAGTTTTGGGCACTGCAATATAAGAAAGATATTAAGTTATTAGAAAGCATCCAAAAAAGAGCAACAAAGATGGTGAAGGGCCTTGAGGAAAATCCATACAGGGAGTGGTTGAGGTCACTTAGCTTGTTCAGCCTGGAGAAGAGGAGACTAAGGAGAGAAATCATTGCAGCTACAACTTCCTCATGAGGGGAAGAGGAGGGGCAGGCACTGATCTATTCTCTGTGGTGACCAGTGACAGAACCCAAGGGAACGGTCTGGTGTTGTGTCAGGGGAGGTTTAGGCTGGATATCAGGAAAAGGTTCTTCACCCAGAAAGGTGGTTGGGCACTGGAACAGGCTCCCCAGGGAAGTGGTCATGGCCCCAAACCCACTTGAGTTCAAGAACGTTTGGACAATGCTCTCAGGCACATGGTGTGATTCTTGAGGTGTCCTGTGCAGGGCCACAAGTTGGACTTTGAGGATCCTCGTGGCTCCCTGTCAACTCAGGATATTCTACGATTCTATTATATACACTTATATAAATTGAAAACCATTCAGTAAATTACATTTTTGGTAATTTCTGGAATGACATTATCCCTTAATAAAGGGCTGCTTTAGGGTAGATGTCAATTTAGCTGTAGAAAAATAGATGTAGACAAACTTCCATCTGGACACAGGGCTACAGTCCTCCAAGGATGCCCAGAGTCATGGCATAAGAGGCAGCATGAAATAACAGTGAGATCAATAGTAGTTACCACTCATATACAACTAAGCAGCTTTCTGAATCTTTCTTCCCACTCAACTCAGCCAAACTAATTTAACTTGCTAGAACAATTTAAAAACAAAACCCAACA